GCAATAGTAAGTACAGTACAGGATGGAGGTACGTACTAAACCCCCAGTACAGCAGTACCGTGAGCCAAATACTCACTAAAATACTGGAAAGTACTAATAGTACGCACTATACTATGGACCCTTGGTTTATTTATTTTTTTATTTTTGCCTTTATTCTGTGCTGTAGCATGCAAACGCCTTTTTTCCTAGTTTTGGAGGCGCGAAATTTTTCCCCGCCAGGTTGCGCCGCCGCTGTCCTGCGAAGGCTACTGCCCGCCTATCGCCCCTACCCGCCCACTCTCCACCACGGCCTGCATACTCCACCACGGCCTGCATACCATCGCCCACCTTGCTGTCTAGACGGGATTGCACCCAATTCTGCTGGTGATCCTGCCTGCTGCCGCCGCCAAGAAGATGACTACTCTAGAGCTCGCGTTCCTAGACCCGAAAACCATCAAGGTGTGAACGCATGCAGTGTTCCCCAAGAAGACAACAAAGAGATATGGTCTCCTCGTGATCACCGCGTTTCATGTCATGTGTGTCCTGGGCGCATCAGATTGACATCTGTGATGGGAAAGTCGGATCCTTTGCCACTAGACTACAGCACTACACCCCTACGGTACTGCTGTTGTAGGGAGTCCACATGCATGCGCAGTGTCATTCCGCGATCGAATGCTGTCGGGAATGGCAGAGGCACCTCTGTGCGACGTAGTATGGCGTGGTACTGCTGCACCACAAGGTTTGCCTCGAGCCACGAGTGCGCTTGTTCTCGCGATGCGTGCACGAGGGCTTAGGGTTAGGGCCGTTATTGGCGCACCTCTGGACGAACGCATGTCCGTCGATCTGGACAGGACACATCCACCTGCAGACGGTGCAACCAATGCGTGCGTGTGGTTTTGATGCGCGTCGGTTCGTTGATGTTGTCTAGATAGAGCTTTTGCGATGTACCGGCTGCGTTGTGTCCATGATGCGTAGTTTTTGTCCTGGAAAGTGGAAGGTGGAACTCGTTTCGCCACAAGGCAGCGTGCGGCCCCGCTGTGTCAGGGGTTAGGGGCCCGCCGGAGAAGATAATAACTTTTCGCGACTTGTGCCCACTAGATGCATTTCGTCGGATTTTCCCGCCATTTGCCCCCCTTCCCGAGTTAATTCCCCCGTCGGTGTTTGCAGCCGCTTTGCAACGACGTTGTAAAACAAGTCGATCACTCAAGACCACGGCAACCAGGTTACCGCTATTTTTTGCCTCTGTTTTTTTTTTGGCGGTAACCAGGATGGCGGTATGCATAGAGTAGAGCATGTTCTGCGGGGTCGAGAACGCTCATTGAGCGGATGATCGCACCATGTTGTGATAAGATTGGCCAAGTACCCCCGACGCAGTTACACAGCTCTTATAACTGTCTGAAAGTACCAGAAAATAAATTAGGCCATGCGCAGCTGTCATCCGTACGCAAGCAAGTAAGCACGAGATGCCGAACACCCTGAGCAGGATGCAGCGCACCCTTCGTGCGACTCGCCGAATACCTCGCGGTGCTTCGTGCTTGGTGATGTGAGAACCTGGTCCGGTAAGAACCGGCGTGCCCCGTCCCGGCGTTGTAGGCATGCGAGGTTAATGGTCTAACGAATACGGCATGCACGACTATGAGCACACACACAGACACACACACCCCTCCCGAGTTAAACCGTAGGTGCTGCATGCTGCAAGGAAGCCTCCCCGCAACCGTAGTGAGCCGTCAAACCCCGCGCATTCCACTTTTGTTTCGCCTCGTGCTTGGATATAAATTCGCATGTGCAGCAAACCTCCCTTCTCTTCCACCATGTGTTGCCCTCCGCGCAGTAGGTCTGGGCTGCTGTTATGGACAGAAGTTTTGATTAGCCCAGCTGTGTCACTCGTTTGGGCGCGAGCTTTCCAGTCGGATAAGTGAATGAAACATCGCAAATCGATTTGACCGTGATATGCTCTCCTTCTGTATTTGACGAAATAGGACTCTCAGATGGATGAGGTGACACACGTCGTGAGCAAGGCGTTTCAAGACTTCAACACCTCCATCCGCGCCCCCGTAGAGGTGTACGAAGAGGAGTTCGGACGTCCTGAGACGGGCCCGGGCATGATTCAAAGGTCAGCGCCCGGAACAGTACCAGTGCATGTAGACTGACGCCCAACGACAAACCCCAACTATCGCAACGCCAATCCCTGTGTTCAGAGCAATCGCCGTTCTTCACAGACCCCCTTGCATCCGCCGTAAGCTGGGAAAAATCTATAGTTCTATGTATCAACGCGCCGAACATCCCTCGCACTCGTACGCGCCACCTACCCCGCGCCCCCTGCTTCCGTGGTTCCAAAATCCACAAACTTCTTTCCAGCATCTGCAAGTCATACGAGGCGTACGCGGCGGTGGCGGACGGCGGGGCCGGCAAGATCGTGGGTGTGTCCTTCGTTGACGTGCACGCGAAGGGTTCGAGGGTGGCCTGCCTGGGACCCGTTTCGTCCATAGCCCCCGGCGCCGGCAAGAAGTCGTTCGTGGCCGCTTGCGCCTACGCTGAGGAGCTCGGCTTCTCTACTCTGGTGAGAACGGTGACGACCAAAAGGGCGCGTCTTGGGTGGGGGAGCTGACCAGCAAGGCTTGACGATCGTCGCCGGTGATTTCGTGGCAGAATGTTGACCCCTTTGTAGCTAGAGAGCCCAATCTTTGCGTACTCAAGTTTCTTGCCTCTCCCCATAACTAGGCGAATCTTTGGGAGAAGCCAACCACCGTCAGTGTGTCCTGGTCAGCCAGCCTACCACGCCCTCCCCTCCCCTTCTTGGTTGTATTGCGCATATCTCACCCATGTGCATATCGGTCAGCAAGCATTCGTCGACCGGTGCGTTCCTGTTGGTGACGCGTGTGCTTGCTTCCCTCTTTGTCTTCCCTGGCGTCCTCTCCGCTCTGTTTTGTGCATTCAACCGCTTCCGTCTACCTCCTGCCCGGTCTGACCACAGGTCCTGATGCAAGTCGCGGCCAACTCGCGATCGTTCTCCCTGTACGCCAAGGTCGGATTCGAGGTGAAAACAGCATCTCCCTTGTTGGTATTTTCCTCTTGGCACCTTACTTAGACGACACGATTTGCAGGGCGCTTAGCGCTGGGGGCACGGTGTGGGCGCATGGCACTGGGGGCACGGTGTGTCCTGTCGCTATACACAAAGCCGTGTGTATGGACGTTCTTGTGTCCCAATAAGCACCCCCCCGCGACAAGAAGGTAGTGAAAGAACTCGAGGCGGCGCAGATGAAAGCAGCGAAAACCATCCTAGGATGCTCCAGGCGCACAAGTAATGCAGCCGTGAGGGCAGAATTGGGGATCCAATCCCTACGGTCGG